TTTTTTTAACTCCCCAGGTGACTCCAATTACAGCCAAAATGCCAGCTTCTCAGTCTTTAAGGGGCAAAGACATCACCTTGGGCTCATCTTAACCTGGAGCTCTAATTCGGTAGATACAAATGCAAGATGGATGAGTTGGCATCAGATTTGGGTTAGTATTAATCTAGTACTAATGCTTTCAAATGCTCAGCTGCAAAACAGCTTCAGCCTAATACCATGGAGAGGAAAACAATTCCCAAGGTAAACCATGCAATGAACAGGTAAAAGACAGGTAAGGCCTCTTGCTAATTCCTGAAGGCTTGAAAGGTTCCTTGACTCTTCATCAAGGGAAGGGAATCTTTTGGACAGCAGCTGTTTTAAAAGTATGTGGAAGTCTAAACTGGGTTTAGAGCAGTGGTTCTCAAGCTTCCTAATGCTGTGACCCTTTAATACAGTTCCTCATGTTGTGGGGAGCCCCAACCATAAAATTATTTTCGTTGCTACTTCATAACTGCAATTTTGCTGCTGTTATGACTCGGACGACCCCTGTGAAAGGGTCATTCAACCCCCAAAGAGGTCACAACCCACAGGTTGAGAACCGCTAGTTTAGAGGCTATTTGTACATATGTATCTGTATGGGCTACCAGTATGCCCAGTCTTGTGGGAGAGCACATGAGGAGCAAAGTTAGTCCCACACACACTTTGAGGGACTGAGGCACTGGCTGGAGGGCTTAGGACCATAGTCTCCGGGGACAGCTACATCACGTGCCATAGCATACTGCAGTCCGGAAAGAAAACGTCCGACAACCCACTACGGTGAATAGCAACTGGGGTCTTAAAAGCTTCCCCTCAGGAGTAAGAAAAAATAAAGATAATCAAAGACTCAAACTAACAATTACGTTGCTCAAAGGGCTCCCAGACTCCACAAACCACAGCTTCCATTAGCCTGAGACCGGAGCAACTAGATGGTGCCTGGCTGCCACTCCTGTCGGCTCTAATCAGGGTGACAACAGCAGGTCCTGGACTGAGTGGAAGAAAAGGGAGGACAAAATTCAAAATAAATAGATAAAATGAAAAGACCAGACGTATGATCCGATAGAGATGAGTGGAACGCTGAAGCGATGGCCCTTAGATACAGCCTTCAGGCTTGCATTGAACCCCCTCCCACAGATCACCTTTCCGGCAAACAATAGGCCTATAAAGTGAACAGTGACACCCACGCGGGGGTGCTCCTCAGAACAATCAGCCACACAGAACTGAAAGGGCAGCATGAGCCCCAAAACACACACATCGGAAGGCAGGAAGGGGCAGGACAGACGGACAAATGGGAACAAGGGGCCAGGGAAAGAATGCTTGTGATAGTGAGGGGCTTGTACATAATGCAGAGGAATAAACTGTGTACAGACTAACTTGGCCTGTAAGCCTTCACCCAAACCGTAATAAATGTTTGTTAAAAAAAGGTTTACAGGCATGAAAACCCGACAGAGAAGTTCTGCTTTGCTCTGTAGGATCCCGCTGACTTGGAACGGACTTGGTGGAAGTGAATTAGGTTTTTGGTTAGTTCCCAACCTTGGCATTTCTGCCAACTTGGGCCAATGATTCTTTGTTGCGCAACTGTCTGTATACTGCAGGACACTTAGTTGCATCTGATTAAAATGCACAGGAGATAAATAACTAACTGTACATTATAGCCTAATTAATAGACAAGGATGCTTAGATATTAATATTAACTTTTTTAATAAATCATTTTATTGGGGGCTCTTACAGCTCTTATAACAATCCATAGATCATTTGTATCCAGCACATTTGTACATATGTTGCCATCATCATTTTCAAAAGTTTATTTCTACTTGAACCCTTGGTATCAGCTCCTCTTCCCCCGCACCCCCAACACTGCCACCCTCAAGAACCCTTGATAAATTATGAATTTCATATCTTCCACCATCCGCTGTCTTCCTTCACCCACATTTCTCGTTTGTCCCCCTGTGTGTGGGGGGGATGTACGTTGATCATTGCCCCTTTCTCCCCGCAGTTTCCCCTACCCTCATGGTATTGCTACTCCCATTATTGTTCCTGAGGAGGTTATCTCTCCTGGATTCCAGCAGACAGACCTGGGACTATTTACAGGCCATTTTTCTTCTTCTTCTTCTTTTTTTCCCCATGTCTATCTATATAAGATAGGCAAGATAAACAATCGCAAGGAGAAAACAACAAACCCAGGGACAAGGGAACTAAAATCGAAGGCAAGGAGGGTGTAGAATGCCTGGTGGGGTTTGATCAAGTGCAATGTAGCTGAGAGGAATTAGTGAGAGCTGAATGACGGTCAAACATGACAGTGGGACAGGAGGAAAGTAAAAGGTAACAGGAAAGAACAAGGAGGCAAAAAACATTTATAGAGGGATAAATATAGGCATATATATTAATATATAATGATAGGGATATAGGTCTATGTATATATGTTAAGTATCAAGATAGCAGACAGATATTGGGCGTCTACTCAAGTCTTCTCTCCATGCAAGAACACTTTGTTCTAAAAACCTGGCACTCCATGATGCTCACCTTCCTGACCTGATCGCTGAAGTCAAAATGGGTGCGTAAGTAAATGTGGTGAAGAAAGCTGATGGTGCCTGGCTATTAGAAGGTATAGTGTCTGGGGTCTTAAAAGTTTAAAGTTAAACAAAGGGCCAACTAGAAGGGAAGCAAAAAAGCCCACGTGGAAGAAGCACTCCAGCCTGTGTGATCACAAGGTGTCTCGGGGATCAGGTATCAAGGATCAGAGGATCCAAAACAAACAATCATATTGATGGGAACAATGGGGGTTACAGTGGAGGACCAAAGCCCATCTGTAGATAACTGGGCATCACCTCACAGAAGGGTCACAAGAAAGGGATGAGTCAGTCAGGGTGCAGTAGAGCACCAACGAAACACACAACTTTCGAGTTCTTTAGTGGTTCCTCCCTACCCACTATCATGACCCCAGTTCTACCTTACAAATCCGGCTAGACCTAAGCATGACACTGGTACAGATAAGAGCTCTCAACATACGAAATCCAGGACAAAACTCTCAGGAGTATTTAAATTTTAAAAGAAAAACATTTAAGAGTTTACTTAGGAGCCCTGGGGGCAGTCTTTAAGTGCTGGCTGAGAACCAGAAGGCTGGCAGTTCAAACACACCAGCTGCCCCAGGATGAAAGATTTATGGCCTTAAAAACTTTATAGGGCAGTTCTACCCTGCCCTGAAGGATTGCTGAATTGAAATGAACTAGAAGGCAGTAGGCTTTGATCTTTTAATTCAGCAGACAAGCTACTAATAGCCTTTCAAAGGGAACCAACACTGGCATATCAAAATTTGAATTTGGCTGTACAAAACAGGCTTCATTCACGTGATGAAAGGTCTTAAAATGATTTTTACATGAGAGACCATTTTCAGATCTTCAGAAACTAGACGCTTCACTTGGACAGTGTTGAGAGTCCCTGTGACTTACTTTCCTGCCCATGGCAAGTGACTGTCACCATCTGTCACCCGGTTCACGATAAAAGCTTCAGAAAATTAAAGAGCCTTTAACAACAAAGCGTAAGAGTTCTTAGTGGGGAATTTCTTTCATAAGATCATTAAGCAAAGCCAATGTGATTAGTCTGGCTTCAAAATATTAATGTTGTATATGTAAATACACGAAATATATACATTTTGGTTAAATATAAACTTAGGAACACCATTTCTCAAGAAAGGCTAGGGTCAATTCACATCTGAAAGTATATAATTATTGAAATGTCTGAGCCCAGCAGTGAAAAACCTGGCTGGATGGCCTCGGGCAACAGCCACAGTTGGTGACATCCGTAATTCTGTCCACTAGAGGGAGCCCGGCCGGTCAGAATGTCCCTTAAGCGAATAGAAGCACAACAGTGAGCACATGGGACAGACCGGAAAAACCTGTGCACGGCCCATCCCAACTCCCGCGACCCGTGTGTCAGCGTTGGCTGTGCTCCGCGGACCTCTCGACGGCAGCCACCAGGCCCCTTTCTTCCAAGGTACCCCCGGGTGGATTCAGACGGTCACTCCTGCAGTCAGTAGGCG